TCAGCTTCTAGCTTCACTGCAAGGGGAATCTTCCTTAGGCATACAAGGTCTGCAGGGCTAAAAGGAGTAAAAAGCATTAAAAGAATTGTTTGTCCATAAAGCAAACAAACACACAAGCAGTAGATGTGCTGAGCAAGGAGACAGTTTTGTATAGTCAATTGGCTGACTGTCACATCAGTTTAATAAAACTGTTTAAAATTTATGATTTGTACTAGAGTAAAGGGAGTCGCCCGATAATCACACCTATTGTGCTAGATGTTGCATAGGCAAGTGCCAAAGAAAACAGATCCTAGCCCAGCGAGTTTACAATCTAGATATCAAAACAGGATGCAACAAATGGGCAAGATAGATAAATGAGATGGGATGGGTGGGAGGATGAAGTAACAGAATGAGCAATGTTGAACAAACAGCAGAAGTCACAACTCCATGCTTTAGCAGTATTAGGGTAGTACCTAAAGGTTCCAGACAGGATCAGCTCCCCTCCCACCCCCATACAGTACATCTTTAAACTGTGCAAATACAGGGGAAGATGTAGAATCAAGAAGAAAATAGGGAAACAGCATCAAAGGCAGCAGAAAGTTCAAGTTTCAGAGTAACAGCCATGTTATTTGTGTGGGGGGTGGAGGGTGAGAAAACCTGGATTTGTGCTGGAAATGGCCCACCTGTTGATCACTTTAGATAAGCTATTACCAGCAGGACAGTGGGGTGGGAGGGGTATTGTTTCATATTCTCTGTGTGTATATAAAGTCTGCTGCAGTTTCCACGGTATACATCTGATGAAGTGAGCTGTAGCTCACGAAAGCTCATGCTCAAATAAATTGGTTAGTCTCTAAGGTGCCACAAGTACTCCTTTTCTTTTGCGAATACAACTAACACGGCTGTTCCTCTGAAACTTGTCATTATGCAAGGCACTGCATTTAGCCGTATGGAGTGGAAATCTATCAACTGCATGAAAAAACTTGTACAGATACAGACAGACATCATCTTCCTTTCCAAATGCAAACAGATGGACATCGTACCAAAAGGACTGAAGGTCAAAAATCCATTACAATCTACATACCACACAGACTATGCTGACAGCTTGTCCTCACGCTCTCAAAGAAACTGCGGAATCACCTGATCAAGATCCTCTACAGCAAACAGGGAAAGATTAAGAATGAGCTCTCAAAAATGGATACTCTCATAAAGAACCAACCTTCCACACAAACTTCTTCGTGGCTGGATTTTACTAAAACTAGACAAGCCATTTACAACGCACACTTTGCTTCTCTACAAAAGAAAAGGACACTAAACTTTCTAAACTACTACATGCTACAAGGGGCCACAGCAATGGTTCCCTCACCCCACCTAGCAATATTGTTAACCTATCCAACTATACTCTCAGCCCAGCAGAAGCAGCTGTTCTATCTCGGGGCCTCCCTTCTGCCCCTCCACCCCCACGAACATGATACAGTTCTGTGGTGACCTAGAACCTATTTTCGACGTCTCCGTCTCAAGGAATATTTCCAAAATACCTCTGAACAACATACTAATCCACAGAGGTCTCCCTGCCAACACTACAGAAAGAGGGATTCTAGATGGACTCCTCCTGAAGGTCGAAACAGCGACTGGACTTCTACATAGAGTGCTTCCCCGACGTGCACGGGCTGAAATTGTGAAAAGCAGCATCACTTGCCCCATAACCTCACCATGCGAACGCAATGCCATCCACAGCCTCAGAAACAACTCTGAATCATAATCAAAAAGGCTGACAAAGGAGGTGCTGTTGTCATCATGAATAGGTCGGAATATGAACAAGAGGCTGCTCCAGCTCTCAACATGAGTTTCTACAAGCCATTACCCTCTGATCCCACTGAGAGTTACCAAAAGCAACTACAGCATTTACTCAAGAAACTTCCTGAAAAAGCACAAGATCAAATCCGCACAGACACACCCCTGGAACCCCGACCTGGGATATTCTATCTACTACCCAAGATCCATAAACCTGGAAATCCTGGGCGCCCCATCATCTCAGGCATTGGCACCCTGACAGCAGGATTGTCTGGCTATGTAGACTCCCTCCTCAGGCCCTACGCTACCAGCACTCCCAGCTACCTTCGAGACACCACTGACTTCCTGAGGAAACTTCAATCCATCGGTGATCTTCCTGATAACACCATCCTGGCTACTATGGATGTGAAGCCCTCTACACCAACATTCCACACAAAGATGGATTACAAGCCGTCAAGAACACTATCCCCGATAATGTCACGGCTAACCTGGTGGCTGAACTTTGTGACTTTGTCCTTACCCATAACTATTTCACATTTGGGGACAATGTATACCTTCAGATCAGCGGCACTGCTATGGGTACCCGCATGGCCCCACAGTATGCCAACATTTTTATGGCTGATTTAGAACAACGCTTCCTCAGCTCTCGTCCCCTAAAGCCCCTACTCTACTTGCGCTATATTGATGACATCTTCATCATCTGGACCCATGGAAAAGAAGCCCTTGAGGAATTCCACCATGATTTCAACAATTTCCATCCCACCACCAACCTCAGCCTGGTCCAGTCCACACAAGAGACCACTTCCTGGACACTACAGTGCTAATAAACAATGGCCACATAAACACCACCCTATACCGGAAACCTACTGACCGCTATTCCTACCTGCATGCCTCCAGCTTTCACCCTGACCACACCACACGATCCATCGTCTACAGCCAAGCTCTGCGATACAACCGCATTTGCTCCAACCCCTGAGACAGAGACAAAGACCTACAAGATCTCTGTCAAGCTTTCTTACAACTACAATACCCACCTGCAGAAGTAAAGAAACAGATTGATAGAGCCAGAAGAGTTCCCAGAAGTTACCTACTACAGGACAGGCCTAACAAAGAAAATAACAGAACGCCACTAGCGGTCACCTTCAGCCCCCAACTAAAACCCCTCCAACGCATTATTAAGGATCTACAACCTATCCTAAAGGATGACCCAACACTCTCACAAGTCTTGGGAGACAGGCCAGTCCTTGCCTACAGACAGCCCCGCAACCTGAAGCAAATACTCACCAACAACCACATACCACACAACAGAACCACTAACCCAGGAACTTATCCTTGCAACAAAGCCCGTTGCCAATTGTGCCCACATATCTATTCAGGGGACACCATCACAGGGCCTAATAACATCAGCCACACTATCAGAGGCTCGTTCACCTGCACATCCACCAATGTGATATATGCCATCATGTGCCAGCAATGCCCCTCTGCCATGTACATTGGTCAAACTGGACGTCTCTACGTAAAAGAATAAATGGACACAAATCAGATGTCAAGAATTATAACATTCATAAACCAGTCGGAGAACACTTCAACTCTCTGGTCACGCAATCACAGACATGAAGGTCGCTATCTTAAAACAAAAAAACTTCAAATCCAGACTCCAGCGAGAAACTGCTGAATTGGAATTCATTTGCAAATTGGATACTATTAATTTAGGCTTAAATAGAGACTGGGAGTGGCTAAGTCATTATGCAAGGTAGCCTGTTTCCTCTTGTTTTTCCTACCCCCCCGTGTTCTGGTTTAACTTGGATTTAAACTTGGAGAGTGGTCGTTTAGATGAGCTATTACCAGCGGAGAATGAGTTTGTGTGTGTATGGGGGTGGGGGGTGTGAAAAACCTGGATCTATGCAGGAAATAGCCCGACTTGATTATGTAAAGAGTTGTCACTTTGGATGGGTAGCACCACAGGAAGTGAATTTGTGTGGGGGTGGAGGGTGAGAAAACCTGGATTTGTGCTGGAAATGGCCCACCTGTTGATCACTTTAGATAAGCTATTACCAGCAGGACAGTGGGGTGGGAGGGGTATTGTTTCATATTCTCTGTGTGTATATAAAGTCTGCTGCAGTTTCCACGGTATACATCTGATGAAGTGAGCTGTAGCTCACAAAGCTCATGCTCAAATAAATGGTTAGTCTCAACGTGCCACAAGTACTCCTTTTCTTTTACTCTCCTGCTGGTAATAGCCCATCCAAAGTGACAACTCTCTTCACAATGTGCATGATAATCAAGGTGGGCCATTTCCTGCACAAATCCAGGTTCTCTCACCCCCTCACCCCCATACACACACAAACTCACTCTCCTGCTGGTAATAGCTCATCCAAAGTGACCACTCTCCCTACAATGTGCATGGTAATCAAGGTGGGCCATGTCCAGCACAAATCCAGGCTCTCTCACACACCCCCTTCCCCCCCCCCCCCCGGGGACACACACACACAAACTCACTCTCCTGCTGGCAATAGCTCATCCAAACTGACCACTCTCCAAGTTTAAATCCAAGTTTAACCAGAACGTCTGGGGGGGGGGGTAGGAAAAAACAAGGTTCAAGGAGAATGATAGGGAAGAGGATGCAAGACTTAGCCAGAAAAAAGTCCTAGAAATCATGGTGAGCCCGGTTTTGATGGCGTAAAAAAGTAATACCGGAAGGGATTCAGGCAGGAATTAGCTGGAGGGAAATCAAGGTAGCTATTGTTTTTAACCAGTTCAAAGAATTGAGAGGGGAAGAAGGAGATGGGACAGTAGTTAGAGGCAGGTGGGTGTTAGGACATAAACATGTTTGAACATTCATTGGAAGAAGCCAGAAGAAAAGGATGAGGCAAAATGAGGGAGTGAAAGAGGGAGGAAGAGATAGCAGCAGCTAGGCAGGGAAAGTCTCAGGGGAATTGTCAAAATATTCACATTTAGAGTGTGTTTTTCCATCTAGCACACAGCAAGTTGGCCACACTGCAGGCCACAGATTAAATGTAGCCCTTGGAATTCTATTATCTTTAATATGGAGGTGCATCCCATTGGGATCACTGCTCCTAGGACACAATGCTCCTTCCTGAGCCAATCCAAGGCCATAACCTGTTTTAACCAAGACAGAGTACAACATACTTGTCCAGAGCTCTTTCATAGGGTGCACTTCCATGTTACAGATAATGGCAGTTACAACTGTTCAGTTTAATGCATGTTAGACTCCGCCCTTAACTCCCGGCAAGTTGCTAATATGACCTTAGCTGAGCAAAGTTTGGATGCCTCTGATCTGATGGAATCATTCTGACAAGATGACTCACGTAATGGCAATCTCTCAAATTATTTTGTTTGTTTTTACAGAATTAAAGATACAGAAAACTCAGATACATCCCTCAGTAACAAAGTACCATCAAGGCAAACTAGCTAAACATTCCTTCATACATAAAAATAAATACACTCTAGTATCTTCAGTTAAATTGCTTTGCCAATAATCAGGAAGCTCATGAAAAAGACCATAATAAAAAAAGTCCACATGAAGAATCTGTCCATCACTTTTGCTACCTTTTTCCACTCAATTCCTTTCGCGCGGTTTGCTTTGTGGTCTCTGACGCAATTAGCAATATACTCAATATTCTTTATCAGTACTTTATAACAGGAGCAGCAGTTAACAGCATCCTTAGCATTTTCACATTGAATTCCATTACTGTTATTTAAATGTCTATTTAGCTTCTTCTTTAGATCACTGTCTTTGTTTCTGTTCCTGGAAAGTTGACTGGTCACCCCCTCATGTCTGTCTTGCTTTTTCTGATACTTAAAATCCTTTCTTAATTTATGTTCTTGTGCTTTCACTCTTTGTGGACTTGTACAATTTTCACCCACATCATAAACAAAAAAGATCTTTGACATGTAGTCCAAAATAACCACTCTGGCCCATTGTGGAACAGGTTGGGCTTCTGCTCCACAGTGATGGATATTCATTATAATGATGGTCAGTGCAGTGGATGCTGTAATCATTGTCATAGTTGCTATGTAATATTTGCCTGTAATGTAAAAAAATATGGAAATGTATATTAAAAGTATTATTCAAGTTAAAATCACCTCTTCAGAAAGGAACAAAAATCCTACAACATAAAGTGAAATGTGAGAAGCTATGGTCAGAATTCTGGAATCATCCTAATGCTCTGTAGTTATGGTTGCATTGGAATTTGCCACTTAAAATAGCATTTAAGTCCATTCAAACAAATAAAATCTCCCACTGATCATGACTCATATTATACCATTTCAAAAGAATAACCACATAATTATCAAGGTAAATATTCACACTCTCTAATGCCCCAATTTCAAAAGCAACCATGTGAAAGTCTTTTTAAAAAATGTTCACAGTGAATTTCACATATTTTTAGGATCCCTACAAAATTTGTATCAACATTTACACACTTCACATTTGTTACACCACTTTTTTTTCCAAATTCATAAATTAATTTGGAAAAAAGCCCACCCATCATGTAAGTGATTATATGAAATTATCATAACTGTTGATTTTCAACAAAGAAGCAGTGAAGATCACATTTTTCATCTCTGGGTTTCCAGATGCATGAGGGGCTGGGAATGTCTGCAGCTTGGCAAAACTAATGGGGGAAAAGGGGAGTCTGGAAGCTGAGCTGTGCAGGAGAAGAAGGCATATACACGCTTCTTTACTTTTTCCCCAACAGATCAGCTAGGGCTCACCAAAGAAAGGAGTTAGGAGGAGTCCTAGTTCTGCATGGCAGAACAAGCTGTGCTGTAGGTGTGCTCAGATTCTATAGAACCTAACCGGTTCTCAAACCAGGCCACCTAGGAACCAGTTGTTATATGAGAGCTACACCCTGGGATAGTGGGCTGCATGGTTCATGGGAAGCTAGGAACCTGCACCATAAGGAAAGTCTTCTGCAGCATACCTGCTCTGGATTGTATTAAAAGGGTTCTCCCACTCCCAGACAAGCCACAGAATATCCATCAAGTGGGCCAGAGAAGACACTAGCGCTTCCCCCACCGACTCCTCCTGTATAATTGAGCTGCTCCTCAGCTCCCACATCTGACCTCTTCTCCTGTGAATTGTCCCCAAATCCTCACGTAACCTCTGTCCTTAGCTCAAATCCCCGACAGCCAGACCCTGCTCCTTGGAGTCGGGGCTGCTTGTGGGATTTAAGCCAGGATCAGAGTCTGGAATGGAACTGAGCCAGTAGATTTCCTTCTATGGCCCTGAGGGGAGAGAAAGTGCCACCCCACCCAACATGCCCTGACCTCTCCAATCCCCTAGCCATAGCAAAGGTGCTGTTCCACAGCTCAGCTGTGCAGAAACAGTCATAGGGAGCACTAATGCTTGTCTGGCTTTTCTACTTGACAGAGTTGCTATGATTTGCCGCCCCATGTCTTGTGGTCATCTCTGGTGAGCTATAGCAGGTCTAACCGGTGCAGAAGGCAGGGAAGACTTAGTTCTCACCCCTTCTCCATCACAACTCTGAATTCCCTGCAGCTCTCCCTCTTCCCATCCAACAAGTCACGTGATCCTCACCCCCACAAACTCCCTTTTGCTTCCAACACACAACCCACAATGCTCTCATCCAAAGTCTCAAGACAGCAGACTTCAACCAAATGAATCACTACACCAGTACCTGGAGCACCCTGTGGTCTCTCAGCCAATTACTGACCCATTACAGCTTGTGAACCCATGAAGATGGCATCCTGAAGTGTCTGACCTCACCCTCAATTTTCCTTCATTAACACTGCAGCCCAGGTTTTAGCACATCCATGTTTTATTATTAGTTTATCCCCATGCAGCACAAAATAATCTTGTCATAGAACTTCACTATATTTGTACAAGTACCATACACATTTGAAGTATTACACAAGGATTTAGAAACTTTGCATCACAATATTTATCTTTCCAGATTCCATTAATGATGTACAGTCTCCCTGACATTATACAACCACTATTTATAAGCCATGATAAAAATCTGAAATACCCACCTATCAAGGGCACATTTTCAGAAGGAGGCATGCTTTCTGCAACCATTAGCTGAAATACAGTTAGAGCAAGCAGAACTGTAACGCCAAGCGACACTTTTTCCCCAGAATCTGCAGGAAGGTAAAATCCCAGTGGGGCCAGGAAAGAGATCAAAACACAAGGGAGCAGCAGGTTAAATATATAGAAGGAAGACCTCCTTTTCAAGATCAGTGTGAATGTAATATCTGGATACGGCTCAGAGCAGCAGCCATAAGTGATTACATTCTTAACAGCTGGCATCCCATCAATCTCCCACTCCACATCTTCTATAAAGTCAGATAGATCTCCACTGTCCAAAGCATTTATTATGTCTACCTGATTACCATTGTAGGTCCAGGAACCAAAGGTAAGGTTACACTGCTGGTCATCAAAGGGAAAATAAGAAACATCCACCACACATGAGCTCTTTGTTATAGCTGGTGCATCCCAAGTAATTTTTCCATCATATCTCAATACTACATTTGTGTTCACTGGTTCTGAAAAGTCATCATCAGCCCTAAAAAGACAAAATGATAAAAAAAAATTAGAACACAAAATAAATCAGAAAATAAAGTTATTAAGCACACCTCTGAATTCACATCATTTACTGAATATGTATTGGCTGTTACGTATGGCCACTATAATGACTATTATTGGACAGACTCAGCTGCGTGTCAAAGATCCAATACTGCTAACATATAACTGAAATTCTCCTTAGCTCAAGCAGTAAGGGTCTCTGCTTTTTGCAGCAGGGGATTTGAGTGTTATTCCTGATGCAACTGTAAAGTTCAGTGTGCAGCACTAACAACAAACTTGAAATCCTAGATGACCATGGATTTGTTACAGTATTTAGGCTGTCACAAATTAACATTAAGAAGAAAGATGGCCTTGTTGTTAAGGCAGAGTCAGATCAGAGTCCATAGGTCTCCCAGACCTAGGTCTGGTTCTGCTGCTTCCCCAGCAAAGCCGCCTTAGAACTATCCCATGTGAGGAACCCCTGAGCCCTTTACATCATGTGCAACACAAAGATGTGTCTTTTGGTCTCATGGAGTGTAAACATTTGGGGCTACATTTTACCTTATTAAAACATTCCCTGCCATGCCAAAAGCCTAAATACGGGACCACTGTGCTAGTAAAACTGATTGTTCTAGTTTACTATCGGTCATAACAACAAATAAACTAGCTCAGATAATGGTAAATAAATGTTTGAAAATTAGATTAATTCACAACACAGGTAAAGATATTTTTTCCAAAGTTTTTATTTTCTCTTATGGTGCCCCTTTCTAGGTGGGTGATATTGTGAACCCATGCTCTTTAATGTAAATGCTTGAGCAAACAATTTTAAACAGATTTTGAAAGATAGTTTCTCCTTATAAAACATTTCAACTTCTTTTCTAAAGAAGCAACAAAGGGTACTTTTTCCACGTAATGAGTCAATCATCTGGAAGCTCCCCAGTACTTAATTTGTAATGAAAGAGGTGTTGGGGCTCAAGCAATTTTTTTACTTTCGTAACTGAGGCGGCAAACCCAGAGGCGCTGGGGCTAAGAACTGCCAGGGCTAAGAACTGCCAGGGCTAAGTCCTGGCAAGCCCTGACACAAATTAAACACTGAAGCTCCATTGGCGCAGCCCCACAGAGCGGGTGAAAGGGCACCAACTATGTTGTTACCTATTGTATCTTGATTCCTAATTCAGCTGTAACTGAAGTGTAGACAGGACTACAGACATATGCTCAAAATTAATCTCTTATGGACAGAGAAAGGTTTTGAAGTGACCTCGAAACCACTGCTCCACAATTTCACGTAAGTCACATTTGCTCAGTATAGTCTCTTAATAAGCAGTAAAAATAAACTTAAGTGAAACCATACATACTTTGTGCAGAGACCAGACTGTAGTAGTAGGACTCAAGGCCCTTTTCACAGCATCATATTAACACAGAAATTGCGATACCAGATGAGACCAATGGTCTGTCTAGTCCAATATCTTATGGCCAGATCCAGTCACTCCAAAGGAAGGTGCAATAAACTGGAAGTGGATGGTTATGGGTTAACTCACCCATAGGAAAATTTCTTCATATATATTCATTTATAAAAGAAAAATATTAAATCTAACTATGTGGTTGTGCTAAGAAACTGCCCCTCAATTGTACTTACTTGTTATACAGGACAATGTCTGGTCTCCATACCAGGTTGCTAGGAATCCTGATAGAATCCAACCCATCATATTCATCTTTGTCCCACTTGAGATATGCATCATACCAACTTTGTCGAATCCATAAATACACAGTCAAAATTTGGTTTCTTTCATCCTGTAAGGAGTTACTCTATACATAAACATTTCTAATCTATGACTCAACAAAGACACACTTTGTTTCAGGGGGAGTTCATTTTATAAACATAATGTGTTTCTTCTAAGACTTACTGTACGGTAAGAAGTCTATAATGTCAGTTCAGAGGAACCAACTATGACAATTCCCACTGATTTCTCTGAAAGGTGTGCAGGCTCAGACCTTAGTTTGGTAGTACACCTGTTAATGTTTACATTATTTTAAAATACCTGTAATTAAAAAACCAAATGAGGAATTTTCTTCACTCTTTGCAGACACATTCTGCTTTGCAGACAAATTCTCCTTTGCCTTCAAAGTGAATCTGACAATTTTCGAACCAAACCAGTTTTCCAAGCAAAAGCTATTGGGGGAGGGGGGCTAAACTAGGACTTTTTATTGGAAGCTGGATACAGCATTAACTGTGAAGAACTACTACTTCTGCAAAACAACAGGTATAAAGAAAAATAAGATACCCAATTTTTTTTTTTGCTTCAGTGCAAAGGGACAAAACAAACGCTTTGAAGCTGAAAAAATCAATATCTAATTGTTATTACAAAAGAAGTCTAACATCTTAACCAGTCAGGTCATAACGGTGTAAATGGATGAGTACATATTAGGAACAGAAACCTATGAAGAAACATTATTAAATGTATCACTTTATGCAGGAAAATGCAAATTGTCCTCACATCTCCAAGTGAGGCATGAAGTTTTAAATTCTGAAACCCATGCTGTTCTAAGAATTTCCAGATTGTAGGTGTGGAAGTTTGCACATTTCTAGAACACGGAACTGTCTTGTTACTCACCATATCTTTAATTTGGGACAGCGTGATCTGAAGGGTGACATTCAGTGCTTTATCTGTGTCTTCCACTGGTCTCAGAGCATTTGAATAGTCTCCAAACAGTTCACTGAATAGCATTTGAGCATATTTTCCTTGTGCAGACTCCACACCTACATCAAATAGTATATCAAATATATCACATTAAGTAGTGTGCATGCTATCCCCAAGGCTCCAAATAGCATTTTGTTACTGTTAGAATACATACTGCCATCCAGCTGGTAATATACACATACTGTACTATATCATATTTAATATAGAACACATGTAGCAAATCTGATGAGACCCATGCAGAATAGGTCATTATGTTGTAGTAACTAAATGGATATTATAAAATTAATGTTTTACACCCATTTTATATAACACTCTGCAATAATATAGCCCTTTTCATCCATAGATACAACAGTCCTTTTCACAGGAGGACAAATATCATTATCCCTATTTTACTGATGGTGGAAAATAAGGCCCAGAGAGAATAAGGCCCAGATTTTTATAGGAATTCAGGCATAGGCATTGCAATGTGAGCACAGCTAATTGATTTAGGACAGGGGTGGAAAAACTTTTTGGCCCAAGGGCCACATCAGGAAATAGAAATTGTATGGTGGGCCATGAATGCTTACAAAACTGGGGCTGGTGGTGAGGAGTCTGGGGTGTAGGAGGGTGCTCTGGGCTGGGACTGAGGGGTTCAGAGGGCGGGAGGGGGATCAGGGCTGGGGCAGGGGTGCGGGAAGGGGTGTAGGTTCCAGCAGGAGGTGCAGGCTCTGGGGTGGGGCTGGGAATGAGAGGGTTGGGGTACAGGAGTGGGCTCTGGGCTAGGATTGAGGGGTATGGAGAGTGGGAGGGTGATCAGGGCTGGGGTAGAGGCTTGGGGTGTGGGGAGAGGCTCAGGCGCTTACCTCAAGTGCCGCCCGGAAGCAGTGGCATGTCCCTTCTGTGGCTCCTATGCAGAGGCGTGGCTACGCAACTCTGCACGCTGCCCCGTCCGCATGCACCGCCCCTGCAGCTCCCATTGGAGCAGGTAGGAGCCAGAGCAGGGCCATGCCACGGCTTCCAGGAGCCACGTGGTGCGGCCCCCAACCCTGCGCCCCAGCTGGAGGGGGGCCAAGCCACGTGGTGTGGCTCAGGGGCCAGCTTAAAACAGCTCACAGGCCAGATCCGGCCCGTGGGCTGTAGTTTGCCCACACCTGATTTAGGAGCCAAAATCTCATTTTCAAGAGGGATTTAGGCTTTTAGGTGCCTAAATCACAGAAACTGTCAATGGCTTTAGACTCCCAAGTGCCTAAATCCTTTTTTGAAAATGAGATTTAGGCTCCTAAATCAGTTAGCTATTGCATCACTGAGGGCAGCAATGCCTAAATACTTTTCAAAATCTGGTGATTTGCTTAAACAGTCACTCAGTTGCTGAGCTAAGAATAGAAACCAGGTCTGACTTCCAGTCCTCTACCCTAGCCAATGGCTTGTGCTGTCTCCCTACACATAAATATTGCTCTCTACAAGAGAGAGTTGAATACTACTTCTAAAATTTGCTCCTCTTTTATGGCATTCATGTTTGAATAAAAAATTAGATGAATTTTGTTCATTATTTGGCCAATGGATAGAGCTGGTTGAATAATTAGTGAATACATTCATTGAATAATTCCTTCAATTAATTTTTGCAAACTTTTCCAAAGAATAGCATATATGTGAAAAAGATTTTTATTCTGTTATGCATCCGGCTCTACAGATAATCCACTGAAATACTTTCTTTAAAATCATAGGTTTACAGATTGCTTTGTCCTCTGAAGTTTCTCTGTGTTTTCTGCATTATCTTTAGATGGAGTCACAGATTTCAAAAAGTAAAGGACAAGGATGTTAACATTTGTCTGACCTACGCAAATTTAAATTCACACAAGTATGCAGCAAGTATTTCAGCGTACCTCACTCTTCAGCCATTTAGCTGTTCAATTATTTAGTAGTGCAGTTCAGGACTAACTACAGTTCAAACGCCACCTTCACTGGAAAAACGCAATCAAAGCTAATGAAACCATTTAAACAGCATTTAGGTTCAACAGTCTGCAATCAGAAAATAGTTCTATTTCTGCAGTGCTTACTCAGCAATGAAATAAAATAGCTTGAAACAGTTAAGAGGCTCCACAGCTGCCCAAACTGCATTTTTTGTGCACTCAGCCCTGTGAAGTCAGGGGATGCACAAGGAATGATGGATGAAGTCGTAAGTGTATAACGCAACCCTTAAGCTGCACACTGGATGGGGAAGGGCTCTCACCTCGAAGTATCATTGCTGTGAAAACCAACCAAAGGGAGACACAGCAGAAGGGCAGGCTGTTTCTCTTCATTCTGAATCCTGAAGTAACTCTGCTCCTCCAGGAACACAAAAATTGTTTTCACCTTCCGAAGCTGAGACCAATGAGTTGTGCAGCAGCACAAAAGCAGTGGAGACACGGATGTGCTGCTGGTAAGAGCTCTGTTCTCAACGGCAACAAGTTTCCTGTGCCCTGAGCGGGGCCCCAGTGCGCACCCCACTCTGCCCTGGTAACCTGAGAGCTGCCCGCTCTGCTGCTCAGTGAGAAGCCAGACAGATGGGATATCACGAGGAAACACTTCATGTAAATCTCATTCTTTTCACAGTGTTACTGGTTCTTTCTTCTTACTATTAATGCATCAGTAGAAAGTCAGTATATGAAGAATAGTCCATTCACACTCCCTCAATCTGCGTCAGATTCTGTCACCCTTATGTAAGCAGTAGCTCAGTCTGTGTAGGTCCACTGAAATCAAGGGAAATTCTTGCAGAGTAAGTCACTACTCAACATGAGGAACAGTGGCAGAATCTGGCCCCATAAGTATAGAATTCTTCCAGGACAGTTCAATGCCAATTTGATGGAGGCCCAGTGTTACTCATTTGTTTATATTCCTCATATTGTTAGTCAGAGAAATTCGCTACTCTCTTTGTGGTCAAACTGTAGTTTGCTGGCATCGTAGGTGCCTTTCAACTGATAGGGCCATTGTCCACTTCCACCTTGCTCTCTCTCCTTTCCATATAGAATAATCCAGTTTGAAGAAAAGTACTAGGATTCAGTGTGGGGCACTAGATCATCATTTTTGCCATCGCATTTTAGAATAGGCAGTGAAGACTATATATCTAGCTGAAACTGCAAGAGGAAGTGTACATAATAGAATGAAATTACCAATAACAGAATTTAGCCAGGACACATCTGGCTTGTGTAATAAGATTATACACTGCGCTCACCAGTTTACACTCACCAGTTCTTTCTGGTGAAAGTGAACGGATATTTCCAAACAAAAAAATGCTTTCCTTTTAGTAGCATTCTTGGTACCATGTGACCAGTGTATGTGCTTCGCTGGCTACATACACCACTGAGATTTGTGGCCAAGTTTAACAGCTAAAACCAGTAATTTCAATAAGAGTACTTGTAATGAAATATCTCTCTCTCTGTCACATCATCTGCTGAATTCCCAAAAGGAAAAAGGTTATAAGTAGTTTAGAAATAAGAGAGGTCAAGGTGGCCCTTAGATTGTATGTAACATGTTGCTTTCTCTTTAGGAAGCAGAGGCACACAGCGTTAAAGGGGATAGCAGGGATATTGTCAGGTCAATGTGATCTCAGGGAATCTCAAACATCAGTTTGTAGTGTATTTGTCATTAGGCTGGGAGTAGATACTATTGGTGTGTCCTAGTCTATGGGGAGCTTGCTTTTGATGAGATTGGAGAGATTAGGGGTTGTTTGAAGGCCAGAAGAGGAGGTTCAGGAAAGATTTCTTACAGGTTGGGGTCCCCATCGAGAATGAGTTGTAGCAGTTTGATGATCATATGGGTTCCAGTATGGTGGACAACTAGGGGGGTGTGATCAGAGGAGGTTTGCATTTCTGTATTGAAGCAGGTTCTCTCGGAGTATTTGGCCTGTTCCAGGATGCGATTTACTTCTCTAGTGGAGTGTCCTTGTTTGGTGAAGGCGGCTTTGAGTGTGCTAAGGTGTATTTCCTGCACTTTTTCCTCAGAGCGTATTCTGTTGTTGCCGGCACCCAGTGCCGAGAGGCTGAACAACAGCTTGAGTTGGTTCGTTACCCGGTGTGCTACACCCAATAATTACAACGGGGTGGAGAAGCAGAAAAGTTTATTTGCAGCTGCAAAAAGGTACAGGGAGAATAAAATCTCAAATCCTGCACACAGAGCAGGAAGTTACACAGGCTTTTATACATCCTTTTTTCCAGCATACTTGTCCAATAGCAAGCTGCCCCAAGTATCCATATAGCCAGCCAATCCAGTTCCCAGCTAGTTCCCTGATTCTCTGTATCATTTGTTAAACTATACATAAAGCTGCTTTATTCAGCATTGTTCTTCCATATCTCCCCTGTTTGGCCTTGCTTAGTTTCAGGCAGTCTGACTCTGCAACATACTGTTGCAGATTCTCAGCATAACTGCTGTGTGTGCCTCCAGGCGGGGGGGGCCAAGGACACTTGGGCCTAGTACGCAGAGCTGCTGCGAGTGCCTCCAGGCAGGAGGGGGGGCCAAGGACACCTGGGCCTAGTGCGAGGGGGCTTCATCGACACTCGTGGTCTTCCATCCCCTCGAGTTACCTAGTGGCCATGCCCCAGTGTCCCCAACACTGTGGTATCTGAGTGCCTGGCTGTAGATTACAGATTTCTTAGTGTTTGGAGTGGTTACTGGATCTATGAAGATAGATGTGGTGAGGGTTTCTTACATATAGTTTTCTGTAGGGTTCCATTGCTGAAGCTGATTGTGGTGTCCAGGAAATTTGAGCTGGTGTGGGAGTGTTCCAGAGAGAGTTTGGTCATAGAAGATTAGGGTTGGAAGAGACCTCATCTAGTCCAACCCACCTGCTCAAAGCTAAATCATCCCACCCAACTAAATCATCCCAGCCAGGACTTTGTCAAGCCGGGCCTTAAAAACCTTTAAGGATGGAGATTCCACCACCTCCCTAGGTAACCCATTCCAGTGCTTCACCACCCTCTTAGTGAAATTGTTTTTCCTAATATCCAACCTAGACCGCCCCTACTGCAACTTGAGACCATTTCTCCTTGTTCTGTCATCTGCCACCACCTTGACCAGCCTAGCTTCATCCTCTTTGGAACTCGCCTTCAGGTAGTTGAAGACAGCTATGAAGTTGTGGTGGAAATCTATATGGGACTTTAAGTCGTCTGTCCATAGGATGAAAATATCATCAATGTATCTCAGGTATATCACTGGTTTCATGGTGCATATATCCAGAAATTCTTCTTCAAGGTGGCCCAGGAAGAGGTTGGCATATTGAGGAGACATCCCAGTACCTATGGCTGTTCCCATGGTTTGGACGAAGTGTTTGTTGTTGACTGTAAAGTTGTAATGGGTGAGGATGAAATGGATGAGATGTGCTTGTAGTGGATATCTGATGGTTGTCCTTTGTCTTGTAAATATTTGAGGCAGGCAGTTATGCCCTCATTGTGAGGGATGTTGATGTATAGGGAAGTGACATCAGTGGTGGTCAGGATGGAGTTCTGAAGGAGATTGGTAATGTTGTAGTTTGTGGAGGAAGTTGGTTATGTCCTGGAGGAAGCTGGCACCGTGTGGTGAGTGGTTTGAGGATGGTTTCTGAGTCCCGATATTCCTTCAGTAAGAGTGCTGTGGCCAGATATGATGGGTCTGGCTTCACTTGTTTGTGTATCTTGGGAAGCATGTAGAAGGTCCCTGGGGTGAGTTCGTGGAGGAGGAGTTTGTAGAGTTTCTCTAGGAGTTGTTGGGGAAGGATTGATGATATTCTTAAATTCCTTGGTAAATTGTGTTGTGAGGTTGTCTTTGAGTTGTTTATAGTAGGTGGTGTTGGAGAGCTGTTGACAATACCAGGACACACCAACTCAAAGTGGCACCAGACCCTGCCAGAACAGATGCAAAACCTGCAGACTTATCTCCACTGCTACAGTGATCAACACCCCGCAACAACACACTTTTAAAGATCCATGGGTCCTACCCATGGCTACCACACCATGCGGTGTACCTCATCTAGTGCATTAAAATAGTAACCATAGGGTGAAACCAAACAATCACTATGCAGAGCTGGTGCAACCACTAGGCGAACTAGGCGGTCGCCTAGGGTGCCAAGTGGTTGGGGGCGGCGGTGGAGCAGAGGTGAGCTGGGGCAGGGGGGCGCGGGGAGGGCCGCCTGCAGCAAGTAACGGGATGGGGGGGTGCACAGGGGAACCGCTCCCCACCCCAGCTCACCTCTGCTCCGCCTCCTCCCCCTGAGCACCGCCCCGCTCTGCTTCTCTCCCTCCCAGGCTTGTGTGCTAAACAGCTGATTGGCGCCACAAGCCTGGGAGGCGGGAGAAGTGGCAGCGTGCTCAGGGAGGAGGTGGAGTAGAGGTGAGCTGGGGTGGGGAGCTGCTGCACGTGGCTCCCCAGGCCGAGGGGGAGGGAGGGAGTGGCAGGGAGCTGTCACAGGGGGGGCTGCCCTGGCCGGGGGGGGTTGGTGGCGGGGAGCTGCTGCAGGGTGGGCACCTCAGGGCAGAGAGGGAGGGGCGGGGAGCTACCACAGAGGCTGTGGGGGGCGGTGCAAGGTGGAAGTTTCTTTTAGGGCATGAAATCTCCTTGCACCGGCCCTGTCACTATGCTCTCAAATGAACTCATACAGAAAAATGATAAACAAAAATACCATATCACCCGTGGGTGAACACTTTTCACAAAAAGAAAAGGAGTACTTGTGGCACCTTAGAGACTAACAAATTTATTTGAGCATAAGCTTTCATGAGCTACAGCTCACATCCGATGAAGTGAGCTGTAGCTCACAAAAGCTTATGCTCAAATAAATTTGTTAGTCTCTAAGGTGCCACAAGTACTCCTTTTCTTTTTGCAAACAGACTGACACGGCTGCTACTCTGAAACTTTTCACAAAGTGATCACTCTATATCTCACCTATCAGTCCTCATCCTCAAAAGAAACCTGCACAACAATTTCAAAAGACAAACCTGAGAGATTAAATTCATAACTTTGCTAGACACTAAAAATCATGAGTAAATAAAATAGAGACACTGGATTTATGGCTTATCACAACAATCTGTAACCCACTAACAATCCTACCCTCAGCTACTTCCCTGACCTCCCACCCCCACCTTTCTTCCGTCCCTATGAATGGAGGGGTATTAACAGGCCACTTCACCTTGAATGGTCCCTTGAAATGTGTGTTATATATGGAATAAATTGAATATATATGTTATATATACAAATACATATGGGAACACACTTGCTTCCTCTTATATTTGAGGTGCTGCATGATTTATACCATTCCAATGTAAAACTTGCATTGCAAAAGAGGTATAAATTTTTTATCAGACATAATCTTATGCATTATACTGCAAATTTTACAGCACATCGGTCTACAGTATACCTCAAATACGTAATGTTGACATAATTATCAGGACACTCTGTTGCAAATCTGGGCGTTGGTACAAATAATGTTTGGAGCAGTACACTTTGAGGGACAGCACTGTTCATACTCCTGTACTTATGCTAAACCATCTGTTCCACCATGTATTTAGCTGTGACACTGAAAACGTTTCCCAGACATGAAGAAGAGCT